CTGGTGATCTTGGTCAAGCTCCTGCCCCTTCTCTATTGAGAAGGTCCAGCCTTGGTGACTTGATGCCAGGGCAACACTGACATTCTGTGAAGTTATGTGTAGCCCTCTTGTCCCATCCCCTTCTCCTAGTCTCTTGACAATGGTTGTGTAATGAAGATATACAAAGTCACCCAACCAACCCTCTCCACTCCCTTCTCTTTGCCACCAGAGAAAGGAGTGGCCCAGAGAACACCCCCTCCTCCCGTATAGGACATCTGGCTATCTGGAAGAGAGGTGGGCAGTGCCCTGGGCCACCTCTCTGTGAGCCTCTTCAGAGACGAGATCAGGAAAGACTCTCTGATCTGTCCATCTGCTTCATTTCATAGGTGGGAAGACTGAGGCTTAGAAAGGAAGGACTGTCCCAAGGTCACAAAGCAAATTAGTGATAAGACTGATGTAGGAACCAGACCTATTGTCTGCTTCGGGGCCCATGCTCTCTATCATAGGTCCCTTTACCTTCATGAGGCTTCTGAACATCTAGGGGAGGCTGAGGCTGGGGCACGTTGTGCAAAGAGAAACTGGCCAGTTTTCACACTGAAAACACTCATCACCATTATTAACCAGCCTATTGATCAGGTGGTGGAATCAGCCTGGAGTGTGTGCTGAGCTAGGAGCACCAGTCCCAAATCCTGTCCCATGCTCTGCTATGCAAGCTTTGGTAAGCCCCCACTCTTCTCTGTGCCTGCCGGAGTAGGGCCTGCGTATCTGAGAACCTTTCCCCCCGAGTCTGACCTTGTGTGGCCTGGGAGGCAATGTATGAGGCTTGGCTTGCCAGGAACGTGTTCTAGGCTTCCAGGCTCACGTTAGCCAGCACGCTGGTGTGGGCTCCACCTCAGGCTGGGGCTTTGCCATAGAACACTCAGGGGACACAAGAGAAGGCATGTCAACAGAGCCTTCATCAGCAGTGCCCTTTCTCCTCCCTCCTAAATGGACACTCTGTCCAGCCCTGGAGTGTGGGGGTGTGGCATGAGGACAGATCAAAGCTTTTCTGGGTATAGCACCCAGAGCCATTAGCCCATACTGTGTCTTGAGGTGCCGCCTTTAACCAGGTGTCCATTAGAACTAGGCCCCATCAGTTGACACACTGCCCTGCGGCCCCAAGGTAATAACGTGGCTGGTGATTTGCTATGACCTCCTCAGGAGAGCAGCAGCACCCTTCTCTGGGCTTCAGTTTCCATCTTGTCTTGAAAGGACTAGCCAGGTGTGTTCAGGGCTCTTCCAGCCCATTCTGTGCTTTGGACCTGGACCTCAGCTCAAGAGCAAGTTTCTAATCCTGTACTGGCTGCCGAAGCTCTTAACTCAGTGCCTTGTTTTCCATGGAAACTGGTATGGGAGCTTTTTAATTCCAGCTTTACTGAGGGGTAACTTGGCTGGGCAGACCTGTTCTTTAGGAGACGAAACATCGCAACAACCATCTTGCAGAGCTCATGTAAAAACTGGGCTTATTGGGATCTCCACTGTACCCGCTCTCCACTAGCCATAGATTAGGCTGTTACTGTTCCTCCATTTATTTGGTAGGCAGCCGAGTGTTGAATGGGTTTCCCAGTTACTGAAGGCCAAGTGGGAGGAAGGTATGACTGTCCTAAGGAACGTAAGACTAAGGGAGTCTTGCTCACACTACACATACCATTAGTCACAGCGTTGGGGATGGTCCCCGCCACTCTGTGTCCCCTCCCCTCATGAACATCTGTCACCTGTTAAAAGGTAAAAGTTTGGATTTCAGTTTTCTGAGACTCACCCCCAGCACCCTCCCCACAAACTGGGCAGCAGTATCTCCCTTGAGCCCCGAGATGCCCAGATCTGGTGGTGGTGGTGGTGGTGTGCCATGGAGTCGGTTCCAATTCATAATGACCCTGCATGGGATTTCCGAGGCTGTAAATCTTTACAAGGGTAGAAAGCCTCATCTTTCTCCCATGGAATGGCTGGCAGTTTCGTTAGCATCCTGACTTGTAACCACTGTGCTCCCAAATCTAGAGTCATGGAAATCCTGGGCTCTAGGTACTTTGCCAGGGGCAGTGACGCAGCTGGCAGCTAGCACCTTGCAGGCAGAATGTTAGTGGATTCGTCTCCCTGGGGGGAGGGCTGCCAAAAAGATCAAACTGTTCATGCCCTATGACCCAGGAATTGCATTTCTAGAAGTTGGTCCTAAAGAAAACAGATTATGTGGGCAAGAATTGATGCTTGATTTCTAAGAGGGAAATGTTTGATGCTTTTTACATGCCCACCAGCTGGAGTTTGGTTCAGTTCTGTTATATATAGCAGAGCTATGTGGTAGAAGAATATGCAGCCATGAGAAAACATGTTAGTGAGGATTTTTGTTTTTTGTTTCTTCTGTTTTTAAAGGCAAAATAGTCATGTTTAGTAGAAAATGCTATAAAAATGAGATCAAACCATGTGATCTTGATTTTCTGGTTTTACAAGAAGAATGTATGTGTGAGCTGAAAAACGAAAGCCATCAATGTGTCAGGGGGATTTAAGCTGGATATTATAGGTACTTTTTGTTTAAAAGTTTCTCTTTTTTTTGGTATTTTTAATATTTGTTACTTTTCTATTCAAAAGAAGAAAGTGATACTCAGCACGCTTAGTACCCTCCACCCTGTCATGTTCCTTGTAAGCTGGGGAAGGGTCTCAGCTTCACGCTCTCATGGCCAATGGCATCTTTATAGGGGTGCAGGGAGTGGGGGGCTCACTGGGGAACTGTCAACGGCAGTTCTGTACAATTTTTGTATGAACGTTTATACAATTTGGCGGGAGTGTTTTAGCAGAAATGTATTATTTTAAAATAAAAATATCCCTGTAGTTAATTCGAACAACAAAAGCATTTTTTTCTAAGACCAGCTTGTGTGGATCCACATAACTTCAAGGCTAACATTCCCTTTGTTAATTTGCTTTTTGAACTTTCTAAACTGCAAGGTCGGTGGTTCAAGCTCACTAACTGCGCCTTGAAAACCCTATACAGGGTTGCTATGGGTCGGAACCGACTCGACAGCACTTCACAACAACAAATATGCTCACGGAGTCCTGGTGTAGCGCTGTAGGATCCACACTGAGCTGCTCACCACAGGTCGCTCTTCAAACCCATGTGCCACTTGTTGAAAGCCCTACACTGGGTTACTGTGAGTCAGACCCTGACTTGGCAGCACATAACAACAACAACAACAACAACAACATGCTCTTAACTGAACTGCCATTATCACCCAATTACAAAGATTCTTTGCACGTGCTGCAAGCACACACTGTTTTCATCGCTGCCAGTGTTTTTATAGTTGCTGTTTTTTGTCAAATTTTCTGGTGTTTTAACTACAGCATTGTGTTAATTTAGTGTTTGTGAACCTAAGTCAATAACTTTGAGACTGAAGTAATACTTAAAGGAAAAGGAGAAAAAAATTTAAGAAGAGGCTACCACTCGGGTACTAATAATGCTATAATTTGATATGGAACGCATTTACAAAACAATTTTGTTTTTAGTATTCCTGTCATCTAGGATATGTAAGCAGTTTATGACTTTCTTCCACATAGTTCTTGGAGTAACATTCATAATAGACATGACAAAGGCTTCTGTCTGATCTGGTTGGGGAGGAGATCCATGGGGGGCAACAATACCATGAGGTACTGCACTGAGTGACCCCAGCCTACTGACACCATTGCTCATGGCTGAGGGCATCTGGAAACTTACATTACTCCACCCTCCAAGCCATCAGCTCCAGGGCAGGGGGTGGGGTCCCAGGAAGCCAATCATTGTTCAGAGCATCCCAGGTCAGCTGTGTTGATAGTGCCACAGGTCAGCAGCTGCTATAGCCGACCTTTTTGCCCTCCTCCCGCACACCCTCCCTCCATGACTGGCACAAAGACTGTTGCTTGACCTATTGTGTCCTTCCTGCCAGAGCCTGAAGTTCCTATTCCAGCCAGCAGCACTGGACCTGCTCTGGCCCAGGGGAGTAAGAGGTGGGTGGGACGATCCACCTGCAGCAAGGTCCTGATTGTTAAAAGTAGAGACTTGGATTTTATTCCCAAGAAAGCTAGACACCTCCTCACATTCTCTCTCTCTCTCTCTCTCTCTCTCTCTCTTTTTTTTTTACTTTTTCTTGTGAATTGAGGGAAGGTTTGTAGACAAGATCATCAGTTTTACATTCAACAAATCATATACTTTGTTTCATCTCTATGATTATAATCCCCTCCATGCAACAACAATTATCTATCTACTGCTGTGCTGAAAATTGGACCATGAGGGTGTGATTCTGTTCCAGACCTTAAGACTGGTCAAGGGCCATAGTCTTGGGTTCCTCCAGTGTCCTTCTGAGCAGTAAGCCTGGTCTTTTAAAAATAATTTTGAGTTTTGTTCCACATTTTCTCCCATTCTCTCTAGAACCTTGTAATATGATCCCTTTCAGAGCAGCTGGGAGGGTAGCCATGCACCATTTAGTTCTTCTTGTCTCAGAGTCCTGGAGACTAATGTTCACCTGTTCCATTGGTCCACTGGACTAATTCATTCCAAGTGTCTTTAATTTCCATCACTCTTCTTTCTTCTGCACATGGAGAGACCAATAGCTGCACCTTAGATGTTTGCTCATGGGCTTTTAAGATCCTAGTTGCTACCCATCAAATTGGATGTAGAACATTGCCTTTGTTATGCCAATCGGTCATGGTAGATACCCTATTATAGTCTAGGAGTGACAGGTGGTTGGATTTGGGTTTTTGAACAGTCACCCCGGCTGTGGAGAAGAGGACATGCCCCTCAGGAAGGCAGGAGGCTGGCGAAATGTGAATAAGAGGACCTGGTGTTTGTTTAGCTGGGGCAATCAGTAGAGTGATGGAGGAAGTTTTCCACCTTAATGGTGAAGGTCTGAGGTCAGGTGTGGCGAGTCACTCCAGTCCCAGGTTCAGATTGGTTTGCCCAGTCCCTCCCACTACCTTTGGAGTGTGTCCCAGTATCCCTCTCTGACTCAAGACTTTTCTTGCAGCTGGTGAAGACACACAACCTGCTGACCACCAGGAACTATATCTTTGGATACCACCCCCATGGCATTATGGGCTTGGGGGCCTTCTGCAACTTCAGCACCGAGGCCACAGAAGTAAGCAAGAAGTTCCCTGGTATAAGACCCTACTTGGCCACTCTGGCCGGCAACTTCCGGATGCCAGTGCTGAGGGAGTACCTGATGTCCGGAGGTGAGAATCTACGTCTCTATGTCCTCTCCAATTAGCAGGAAAGTAAGTCCTGCTCAAATGCACTGGGGCTGCCTCCACACAACTTTAATACAGTCATTGTCCACTTGCTCACCACCCCCACCAGCCTGATTCATCTCGGTCCCCCACACCAGGCACCAGCCTGACAGGATCTCAGGGAATGTTTGCCAAGTGATCGAATCCCCAAAACAACCTTTGTATCGCGTCTCCATTTTACAGATAAGTAATCTGAGGCTTAGAAAATGAATAGCTTCCCTAGAACCATGCCACCTTGAAGTTAGATCTGAGGCCCAGGTCCAGGTTGCTTCCTGCTTACACATGATTGCATCCATGGGCAGCCCTGACTATGTGTCTCCCCACAGGCATCTGTCCTGTCAACCGGGATACCATAGACTACTTGCTTTCAAAGAACGGGAGTGGCAATGCTATCATCATCGTAGTGGGGGGTGCAGCTGAGTCTCTGAGCTCCAGGCCTGGCAAGAATGCTGTCACCCTGCGCAACCGCAAGGGCTTTGTGAAACTGGCCCTACGTCATGGGTAAGTGCATCCCCCCACCTGAGCACGTACAAACACACACGTGTGCACAGTCCTAATGCTCCGTTTGGCCCAGGACAGCAGCAGCATTCTTGGTCCCTGGAGCCAGGGCTTGGACCCCACGAAGACATAGGAGAGAGTCTGCCATCTTGTGGGGGTGGGTCAAACCAGACTGGGAGGTTCAGGTTAAGTTTTCCAAAGTGTAGGCTGGGTGTCTGAGTGGGGTAGAGTTTCAGCCTGTCTTCTGGGCTCTCCCAGGTTGGCTGGGGAGCCAAGCTTATGGGTGGCTGAGCATCAGAATGGGACTATGAAGACTTAGCACCTGTGGCCAAATGTATCATGCTGCTAAGAGAGCAGGACCTTAGAAAGGAGGGCGTATGGTGGGAAACATCAAGGAAGGCTTCTTGGAAGCGGTGACCCTGCAGACAGCTGACAGGAGTTGAATAAACTGGATCCTTTCTATAAAAGCAGAGCTACATTCGATGTAGCCACCTGTTTAGCACATTTCATTTGACAAAGCAGTTTCATTTCTGCTGTCTCCTTGGATTCCCAAGCAATCATCTGGGTGGAGACACCGTCACTTTTTACTTGGAAAAAAAAAACTGAGTGAGGCTAAGGGAGCGGGTGAGGGAGCTGAGCCTTTTGAGCTCCAAGTCTGTTCTTTTCTTCCTGTGTCTGGGTGCCAGTTGAACCCCGGAGGAAGCATGGGACCTGGGATGATGTACTTCCAGCAGTTACATAGCCAGATCGGGAGAGGGTATGAGGTTAAGGCCCTGTCCAGCCTGGAGTGTGGCAGGAGAGCCAGCAGTCCTTCCTCTCTTGTCTCCTCAGGAGCTTGGTTCTGGATTCCTCACCATCCCTGGGGGACAGACCCAGTCCCTACCTTCAGGGAACGTCACTAATGGGGTTGGAGGAGACACGTACAGGATGTGCTGAGAACTTCACATGGGGCTGAAGAGGCCTGACTTGGGGTGGGGTAACAGGGAGGATTTCTTGGGGGATGATGCAGACTCTGAAGGATGAGGGAGATGCACAGACAATCCAGAGCAGGGCACTCACCCATCCTGATCTGGTGTTCTGAAAGCCATGACCTGATCCCTGTCTGTGGCGGAGGGCAGAGGCCTCTCCACGTCTGGGAGTGAGGGGCATATGAGTGTGGGGTGCCTCCAGGCTGTTCCAGCACATCCCCCAGAGCGGGAGTGAGCCTTGCTGGGGTCAGAAGCCAGCAGTTAGGATGTGACAGGCCCTGTCATCTCCCTTCCAGAGCAGACCTGGTTCCCATCTACTCCTTTGGGGAGAATGAAGTGTACAAGCAGGTGATCTTCGAGGAGGGCTCCTGGGGCCGATGGGTCCAGCAGAAGTTCCAGAAGTACATCGGTTTCGCTCCTTGTATCTTCCATGGCCGAGGCTTCTTCTCCTCTGACACCTGGGGGCTGGTGCCCTACTCCAAACCCATCACCACTGTCGGTGAGTCCCCAGCCCGTGGGCCACCACCCCTGCTGATCTGTTTTAGGAGAGTGATTCTGGCTGTTGTGTGGAGGACCAGGTGGCAGGGCCAGCAAAACATTTGTCACAAAGTAGTTTAACTTTGAGAACTATTTATCAATTACCCAAGGACCCCTGGTGGTGTCGAGGTTAAAAGTGTTTGAGGACTAACCAGAATATCAGCTGTTGAAACCCAGCAGCTGGTCCATGGGAGAAGGCAGATGATGGCTGCGTCTGTAAAGATCTGCAGCCCTGGAAACCCTGTCCTACAGAGCCACTAGGAGCCAGAAGCCACTTGATTCTCTCCAGTGCTCCAGATGCCGCTCTAGGCAATGATGAGCCTATGTCTGCCCCTTCGTGAGTGTGCATTCTAGTGGAGGAAGCAGACAACCTGATTTCATCTGAAGGAACGCTATGAAGAACAATAGTGCCACATGACAGAGTAAGGATCCAGAAAGGCACTCAGCAAAGACTTGGATTAAGGGAAGGGTCCAGCCATGTGGAGACATTGAATGCAATGCAAGAACATTCTAGACAGTGTGCTAAAACTCTGAGGCAGGAACGAGCTGAGCTTAGTGTATACAGGGAACAGAAAAAAAGCCAAGGTGGAACAGAAGACATACAAGTGCTGAAGGGAGAGGTATAGGAGATGGCAGTGAGTTGGGCAGGAGCCAGATGTGAGAGTTGGAATTGGATTCAATGTGTGATGAGCTGCCTCTGAACAGGAGAATGGTGTGATCTAGTTTGTTTTTGTGTCCTGAGATACGTAGAGAGGCACAAGAGCCTGGTGGCCTTCAGATTGAAGATGAAGGCTCAGGGGGTGATGGTGACAAATGAGGTGGTGGAATTCAATCTGAATTCTTCAAATTGAAGAGAGGCTTGGTGGGTCTTGCTGATGATCGACATTGCATGTGAAGAAAAGAAGTCAAGGATGACTTCAAAGTTTTTGGACTGAACAAGGCAGGAAAAGGTGGTGCCATTTAATGGGATGGGGGAGTGGGGAGGAGCAGGTTTGGGAGTGAGAGAATCAAGAGCTCACATTGGAGGGACCTGCTGGTGGATATGATGAGATGGTGCTTGTTAAACCATTTGAGAGCTCTGGGAGCATCCTGTGGATGGTATTTTAAGTCATGGACAAGGGACAGCACAGATAGAGAAGAGATCTAAGGACTGCGCCTGGGACTTGGTGGCACAAAGAGCGGTTTCAGTGACTGGTCTGAGTGGCTAAGGTGACCGTGGGAGGGGAGAAGTGAGACAGTGAGCAGGAGCCTCTCTTGAGTTTGCTATTGAGGCAGCAAAGAAATAGGGGCGATAGTGGGAACAGGGGTTGTGGAGCTGAGAGGTTTTTCTTTGTTTTTAGATGATCATAGTTTATATGCTGCAACATCAGTGGTTCAAGCTCACCAGCTGCTCCTTGGAAACCCTATACAGGGTGGCTATGGGTCAGAATCAACTCAGCGGCACTTCACAACAACAAGAAGCTTATTTGCATGTATTGTGTGTTGGCACCACACTAAACTCTTGCTCTCTGTTTACTTACTTACCACTCACAAAGATCATGGGGTAGCCACTGTTATACTTCTCTGTTGTTGTTGTTGTGTGCCGTCATTGTTGTTATGTGTTGGTTCTGACTCATAGGGTTTCTGAGGAGCAGCTGGTGAGTTTGAACAGCCTTGCAGTTCAAACTGACATTGAGGTCAAGTGCTTATCCTCCAGCCCCACACCAGGACTCTTTATTTACAAGTTAGGAAATCAAGTCACAGTGAGATTAATTTGCCTAGGGTCACATAGTGAGTCCATGGTAGAGCTAGGAGTCCAGTCCTGGCCACCTCTTTCTGATGTCCATGCTGTTAACCATGGATTTCAATACATTGGAGTTCCAACAGAAATAACCAGCATGCAGTGTAGACTGGGGATGGAGCCTAGATGGTGGTGGTGGTTATGTGCCATGGAGTCGGTTCCAACTCATGGAAAGCCTACACAGAGTTTCTGAGGCTATGAATCTTCATGGGAGCAGAAAGCCTCATCTTTCTCCCTCAGAACAGCTGGTAGTTTCAAATTGCTGACCTTGAGGTTAGCAACCCAATTCATAACCATTATGCTACTAGAGCTCCTTGGGGGCTGTATTATGGTGGTGGTGGTGGTGGTTATGTGCCGTGGAGTTGGTTCCAACTCATACCGACCCTGTACAGGTTTTCCAAGGCTGTAAATCTTTATGGGAGCAGAAAGCCTCCTGTTTCTCCCACGGAACTGCGTAGTTTTGAACTGCTGACCCTAGATTAGCAGCCCGACTTATAACCACTATGCTATCAGAGCTCCTTTGGGGGCTGTATGGTGGTGGCTGTGTGCCATGGAGTCAGTTCCAACTCATAGCAACCCTATACAAGGTTTCTGAGGCTGTAAATCTTTACAGGAGCAGAATGCCTCATCTTTTTCCCGTGAAACAGTTGGTAGTTTCGAACTGCTGACCTTGCGGTTCACAGCCCGATTTGTAACCACTACACTACCAGATAAAATAAAAATCAATCAACATTATTAGAGCATAACCCTGTGAGAACTATAGCAAAAATCAGCTGCACTTGGCCTTCGGCAGTACTGTCTTGGTATAATGGGGGATATGCCGTCTCAAAGATTCTAAAGACTTGCTTGCTGTAGGGGGGTATGTGTGTTAGCAGTTCACAAGCTAGAGAAGGTGTGGGCTGCAAGCATTCACACATATTTTCTGTTACCAGTGTGATTTGCTTTGTACGTTTAGCTAGCCAGAGATAGTCACATGACCCAGTCTCACCCTTGACTCTCGTTGTGCTCATATCCCACACCAGATCTGCTCTCCCCAAGGCAGCCCAGAACACGACAGGGGTATCTGGAGAAGGGGCAGGGTCCTGTGAGCAACTCACTACAAGGGACAGAAAGCTACTTGAGGGTGTTTTGAGGGGAGAGGTTCCAGTTTGCATTTTCAAGTTAGTGGTAGAGCTGCATAGAAAACAGACTAGAAGGTGCAAGAAGAGAAAGCAGGAAACAAGTGAAGAAGTTTTTGTGGTGGGCAGTGACTTGGACTGAGGGAGTAGCAGTGGAGATATGAAAAAAGGAGATGGATTTTAGAGAAATTTGGGAAATAGCATTGGCAGACAGGACTTGGGGGTGGATTCGATGTGAAGATGCAGGATAAGAAAATGAAACAACACAGATATATGAATGTTGATCTCCACCTCCATCCTACCACACTTTTCAAAGCATGTTATTTCCCAGAATTCTCAGAAGAGCCCTATGAGGAAGCATCCCCCTGTGACAGATGAGGAAACAGAGACTCAGAGAGGTGAAGTGACTTGCCTAGAGCAGAGTTAAAGCAAAGCCACGACTTGCTCATGCACAACCCCCGGCAGAGTGTATTAGGCAATGGCACTAGATCAGCCAGTATGGATACCCTCCTACTGCTTAGAGGAGGTATGACCTTGGACAGGTCCTTTCCTGTGCTGCTGGGCCTCAGTCTTTTCATCTGTGTAAAGGGACAAACTGCTATGAGATGCATAAAGCATTCAGCACCGTCTCTGACACACAGTGTGGACACACAGGTTTGCTGCCAGTAGGATCAAGGAGGATGTGGGGTTGGGGGTACTGTATGATACTGACTAACTTCTGCCCTATCCCTGCAGTGGGTGAGCCCATCACCATTCCCAAAGTGGAACAACCAACCCAGAAGGACATTGACCTGTACCACGCCATGTACATGGAGGCCCTGGTGAAGCTCTTCAACAACCATAAGACCAGTTTTGGCCTCCCAGAGACTGAGGTCCTGGAGGTGAACTGAGCCAGCCCTCAGGAACCAGGGAGGAACCAGCTGCCAATCGGTTTTCTGCCACGTTCTCGAGTACTTTTTGTTCTGTAAATTTGGAAGCATCATGGGTGTCTGTGGGTTATTTAAAAGAAATTATAATAATTTTGTTAAACCATTACAATCTTAGATTTTTTTTAAAGGATGAAAAAGTGACTATTTCAAGCTCTTTCACTTCTGGTTTCTCCTGTCTTAGGTGGTGGTTAACACAACTAGGCCTTTCTGGCTTCTCTACCAACTCTCCTTTTTCTTTTCCCAAAAGTAAAGCGAAAACTCAGTCCTGGCTAGTTGGAGGAAGAGAGACTGCTTGCTTTTTGCCCTGGGAGATGAGAAGCAGAAACCACTTCTCCTACAAACACCTCTATTCCCAGCCAATCCACCCTTTACTACAGGGCAGTCCTTCTTGCCAACCAAAAGACTCAGGGGGGCACAGCTATCCCTGTTTTATAGAGGGCAGTGATGTGCTCCAGCTTGAGTCTCCTTTCTTGCCCCCTCGCCATGTTTCACATCAGCCTCTCAAACTCAAGCGTAGACACAGGCTTCTCCAGGGTGAGCGTGGGGGTGCGACATTGGTACCACTCAGGGGAACCAGGCTGACCAGGATGCAGCATCTCTTGGATTATCCAGCCCCCACGTGCTGGTTGAACTTCTGCTGTGGCATTGTAGGATCAGTATTGGACTGTGAACCACAAGGTCGGTGGTTTAAACCCACCAACTGCTCCTCAGAAACCCTATATATGAGTCAGAACCGACTCGATGACACTTAACAACAACAACAATGTTCTGGTTGGAGTGAATGGTTTACTCAGGAGACTGACAACATGGATCCAGCACATGCTCAGCCTTGGCCTGCATCATGCATTTCCAAGTGGCCTCAGTTCTGCTTCTCCCATCCCCTCAGAGTTGGGTCTACAGGAGAGGATCCCTCTTCCTTCACAGAGGGGGCCGGCCCCTTTGAACAGCAGACTGGTTCCAGGACAGAAGGCCCCCAAAGTCAAGCTACACATCTTTGTGCCTTTTTGAGGGAAGAAACCCAACCTCTCTTCTGTGTGTTGTTTTCTCTTGATGAGACCATTGTACCATATGAGATTTTTATATATATTCCTACACAAATAAATGAAAATGAGTCCTTGGTGGGTTGTTGCTGGGGCTGCATCTGCACTCAGCTTCTGAGAGTTGGGGAACTTCCAGACCCTAGCTGGACTGCCTGCGGAACCTTCCACTGTCTTGCTCCTTAGGCCTCATGGTCCTGTTGTGATGTGTTATCTATTGCTGTGTAACTGCAAAAGAATGCCACCAAACCATCCTTCCCACAGTACTCTCGACTCAACTGATTTCAGTAATTCATGGCAAAGGCCTCACAGAGCACCATATTCACAGTTACAGGTTGGTTAGGGAAGTTAGCAGGTTACTGTGCAGGATCAGAAATGTACATTCAGGGCACAGTTCTTCCTGTCAGGACAGGCTCCTCAGCTGTTCCACAGGCAGGTCTCATGCTGACAGAGTGGGGTGACAGAGTCAGCAAGCCTCCAGCCCAAACTCACTCAGCTTTACTTGCTCTGTGGGCCAGGGATCCCACTGACGTGTCTCATGCTCCAGTTCCTGTTTCTCCCGTTCCTCTGCCACTCCTGTCACAGTTTTCTGTCCCTGGGTCGAGGAGGTTCACTGTTCAGAGAGCTTGGGGTCCAAAGGATGCACTTCTTTCCTGGCTCTTTGATAGTCGTGAGATCCCCCATGCCTGCCTCTGGTATAGCTCATTTGAAGCCCAGCAGGATGGTAACACTGACCAAGCTCTTCATTAGATTTCCAAGTGTTTTCAATCACAATGCTGTTAACCGTCACTCTCACGTAATCCTTCAGCATCTTCCCCCATCTTTTCTTACCCTGACCTAGCTGGAAAAGAGTAATTTTGGTAGGTGCTTAAGTAGACTATGGTTAGAAGGTGGTGGTTGTGTGCCATAGAATGGATTCCGACTCAGCAACCCTTAACAGGGTTCCTAGGCTGGAAATCTTTATGGGAGCAGCCTCCTTTTTCTCCCACACAGTGACTGGTAGATTTGAACTGCTGACCTTGTGGTTATCAGCCCAACTTGTAATCCACTATGCTACTAAGGATCCTTGCAGTCCTAGTGTGGTGCTGTAGGGTAAGCACTTGACCACAAGGTAGGTTTGAACTGCAAGGTCAGCAGTTCAAATCCACCAGCCACTCCTTGGAAACACCATACAGGGTCACTGTGAGTTGGAACCAACTCAATGGCACTTAACAACATTAGGAGTCTCCTTATGGCTAGAAGAGACATTAAAACTTTTACTACACTGCAGTAACAAATTACCCCCAGACCTAGTGACCTCAAAGAACATGTGTTTGTCATAGTTTCTGTGGGTCAGGTGTCTATGTGTGGTCTGGTTGAATCCTCACACGGTTGCAGACAGGGAGTTGGCCAGGGCTGCAGTGATCTCAGAGCTGGACTGGGAGGCGATCCACTTCCAATCTCATTCACATGGCTGTGGACGGGCTTCAGGTCCTCAAAGGCTGGTACCCAGAGTCTACCCTCCATTCTGTGCCATGTGGGCCTCTCGACAGGATAGCTAACAACATGGCCGCTGGTGTCATCAGAAAGAGCAAGGAAGAAGAGTCAGAGAGAGAGCACAGTTTTCACTGACTTCATCTATCACTTCTGTCACTGTTGTTAGGTGCTGTTAAGTTGTTTACAACTCACAGCGACCCTGTATAGGGTTTCTGAGGAGCGACTGGTGAGTTTGAACCGCCGACCTTGTGGTTCAAACCGACCTCGCGGTCGAGTTCTTATACTATGGCACCTCACCATTATATAACCCTAGTGTGGGGTTGTAAGATAAGCAGTGGACTGCTAACCACAAGGTTGGTAGTTCAAGCTCACCAGCTGTTCTTGGAAATCCTGTGCAAAGTCACCATGTTGGACCCAACTCCATAGCACACCACTGCCACCACATTCATTACATATAAGTCACTAGGTCCAGGCCACACTCAGGAAAGAATTGCACAAGGGAGTGAAACCAGGAAGTGGGTGGGGTTGTCTTTGGAAGCCCCCTACCACATGTGACAAAGGGCAACTATCCAACTGTAGGGTCCCAGATTGGCCACACTGGAAAGGCCCTTGTGGCTTATTCAAACTGACCCCTGCTCCTAGCCTCAGTTTTACTAAAAGAGAGGTCTGGGCTGCTAGTTCCCTGGTGATTTCTCCACAATTAAAATCAAACCTACAGTTGCTGAGTCAGTTCTGACTCATAGCTACCTTGTGTAGGGTTTCAGAGCCTTTAAAAACAGGAAGCTTCATCTTTCTCCTGAAGAGAAACTTGTGGGTTTGAACTGCCGACCTTGAAGTTAGCAGTCTAGTGTTTAGCCTACATTCTCACCAGGGCTTGTTCACTAAGGTCTTGTCATCGTCGTGATGTGCTGTGGAGTTGGTTCTGACTCATATTGACCCTGCACAGAAAGGTTTCTGAGGTTGTACATCTTTAACAAGAGCAGAAAGCCTCATCTTTCTCCCAAGGAATAGCTGGTAGTTTCAGACTGCTGACCTTAAGGTTCACAGCCCAATTCGTGACCACTACACTACCAGAGAATAGTAAATACTTGAGAACCCTTCCCACCTAAGATCTCACTGCTTAAATGCCTACCCTTGCTGTTCATCCACCCCAGGGACCAGGGCCACTTCCTGTGTGCCATGAGTAGACTGCTTGGGACATAAATATGAGTGGATCTATGATCAGAGCTGAGACAAACATTGGAAAAGGCTGGTCATCTGTGACAGACACACCTCTGACCCAACCTAGGGTACTTCTGGGTAGGTAATGCCTGAGTGAGGCCTTGAAGGATGACTGGCATGGAAGGGTGAAGGGCAAAGATGCTGGTTTGAAAAGAATGGGAGGTAACAGTAACCTGCAGAGGTCAGTTTTTTTAAGGACAGAGCAGTGAGGGGAAGTGCTCTGGAGTAGCAAAGGCTGAACTCTGTAGCCCCGGCAGTAATCCTCAGGGTGGGCAGTTCCTTAGGATGTAGAAAGACTCATTTCCTGATAGTCTCAACTCCCACACTGGCCCCAGCCCAAGCATAGTCCTGTCTTAGAGGGAAATTACCACAAAGTTATAGTAGTGAAAAAAGACTTTATTAGGTATGAACAAGAGAAACAAAGGTGGGAAAATGGACTGACAAGTCACCAGAAACCATCCTGTCCCGAGTCAGTAGAACATTATAAAACCAACAGTATATAAAGGGGAAAAAAATCACTGGAGGTAACTTGCTTCCATGTTGTTGTTAAGTGCTGTTGAGTCAGTTCTGACTCATAGTGACCCTGTGTAGTTCCCAAAGAGCAGCTGGTGAGTTTGTGGTTCAAACCTACCTTGCAGTCCAACACATTAGCCCACAGCACCACACCCATCAGGATTTCATACTTGCTTCCCTAGATAGGCTAAAAGCATTGAATCTCTGTAATTGTGATTGTTTTTCAATAGATCAAAGACACAATGTTTGCAGAAGCAATAGGGCGGAGGTGGCAGGGTGGGAAGGCGAGTCTTCTCAGGTCCCACAGGCTAGGCAAAAGGAAAACTAAGGGAAGTTGCTCTTCACCTCGAGGTCTTTGTCTAGAGAAGGAGCCACCTGAACTGAAATCTTTTTGGTTTTACCTTTCCGCTCTCCCGGAGTTCTCACACTGGCCTGCAGTGCTGGGCAAGCTGTCACAGAAGGTGTCTCGTGCTGCCTGTCTGCCTAGAGAAAAGCCAGTTACTCCATGGGAAAGCAAACAAGGTTTCACGTCTAACAGCTATACCCAAGGCAGAGGGACTGCGGGCCCTCCAAAGACTGCCTCCCTGAGGAGAAAGGGAAAAGGCTGGTACTGGGAGGGTCCCAGGTCCCTCAGGGGGACTTCAGGAACTTCCTTATTCCTATAATAGTCCTCAGGGTGGGTGTTTAATACTGACTGATTAACCTAAAAGATTCAGTTGAACTGGATGGTGGCTCAAATTCACCAGCTGCTCCTCAGAAACCCTATCCAGGGTCAATATGGGTTGGAACCGACTCAAAGGCACTTAACAACAACAACAAACCTAAAGGAAGGAGTCCTGGTGTGATGCTGCAGGAT